ATTTCTTGAGCCCTATTTTCACAGGTAGAATGCTTCTTCCATTCATTATCTATTTCTGATTATAATAAGCAAAATCTAGGTGTGGTCGGTTAATTTTTATACTTGTTTGAAACGAACAAATTTTATTCTTCCTTTCCGATTCATTTTTGCATGTTGAATCATTCCTCGACCGATTGTTCATTCTCTATCAAACAAACTATTAATTTGTGTAATTTAAAACATCTGCATGACTCACACGAGGAACTGAAACGACTCTAGGAAAGTCGTAAAGAATGAGAAAGCAGATAGTTGTGAATTTCATACTTTTGTTCGTTAAATGGAACATAAAGACGCTATGGGGTAACAGCTATCCAGTGTACTTATATACGTGACTCAACCACAAAGAGAAATTGACTGCCATCTCATGGGTTTGCGATGCTGCATTTCGCGGCAGTGTGATTGAAGAAATTTGCAATTAAAAAAAATTTTCTATTAAATCAATCGTTCGAAATTACGCAAAGAATTCTATATATAAAAATATATGAATTGTGTATACCATCACTCATATTCTAATACGCTCCTTTATATTCCTGATTCGTCTAGTTTTCACATTTTCATCTCATTTCATCTTAGTTCCTGTTATACCTAGCAGTATAGTAATATACATATGTAGTAGTACAAGAAAATATTCGAACATTTTAGTAGACAGTGGTCCAAGAAAATATTCTGTGTGTTATATATTATAAACATTTTGATACTTTAATAATGACAGCTGTGACTATACTTGGTTTATAAACATTCACAGTTTAGTAATTACCGGGAATTACAATGAAATTCCATTTATTTGAATTCCATTCATTAGAAACAAATATTACTTAGTGTCTGATTGCTAACGACTGAATCTACTTACAGGAATTCACGAAAGTATTCGAACATAAATTATTAAAGAATTTTCCTATTCTTTAATTTAATACATACAATATTACATGTATTATAGAGCGTCTTGTAATTTTATCAACTGTAATCATTTTAGTAATGAAATTTGAAACCAATGTAAAAATACATATAGAAGTTATAAAACGTTTATTACACACAAATATATAAGAATTGCATGCAGCATGAACACTCCTTTTAAACTTAGAGTAACAAATAATTATTAAACATCCATCTATAGTTCTAAATTTTTTTGTATTTGTTTAAATCTGCAAAGTATAATAAGCATGATTGTTGAATCTCATTATATGTAATGTTAACGAAATTTCTTTCCTTGGTAATCCGATTTAGCGGTTCCTCCCACTGTACCGTTGAGGGTAGTGTTAGACCACTTGCATTTATATGCTCGAACCTCGATTTGACACATGACTGCGAAATTTCGAGACTTGACTCTAGTACAACGTTACCATCAACGACACAGTGGGGTTCTGCAGAACCGCTGAGTCGGATTACCAAGGACGCTAGTCTACAAGTATCTCACCTCGTCCTTTCGGACGAGGCTGCAGTTCCCCGATTCGGCACAAGTGCCAAATCGAGGTTCGAGCACTTAGAGACAAGTAGACTAACGCTACCCCCAACGACACAGTGCGGTTCCACAAAACTGTTGCGTCGGATTACCAAGGACGCCAGACCACAAGAATCTCACCCCGTCCTTTCGGACGTGGCTGCAGTTCCCCGGTTCGGCAC